CGTCCCATCTTGGTATGCTTTTTTGCTAGACGGTTTTTTTTGTGGACTAGTTTTCTCGTATGTTTTTTTTGTTAGATGGAAAAACAAAATTTGAAAAGACTTCCAGATAATATTTTACTCAGTTTTGAACGCACTATATTTTGGAAGCGCGCCTGATCTGCTGGTTCGATTCACTATCGCAGGAAATCAGTCGTTTCTGAGATAAGCTAGTACAGTGAAACGAGTCATCTATGCAGTATGCACTTAAATACTATGTCTTGGACGAATTTTTGTGGACTCATTTTTGTCGATGCTTTTTTTAGTATACTTCTCGTGGACGTTTCCTAGTGGGTGCTTTTTTGGACGCTTTTCTTTTTAACGTGTAGTAAAGCTAAGTGTACTGATCACAAATATGATATGTTTAGCTGCCACTGTTAGCTCGCTACTGAGTTAGACTAGTTTTATTTTACTTTGGTCAAACAATGACCTATTTTCAATCGATCACAGTTTTTTGCAGATACGTTATTCACATTCGTTTAATATGCTGTTTTGCTAAGGAACTCTTCATCTATAATTTGGTATATGGAATATAACAATTCGACTTATAGTATTCGATCGAGAAACAAATAAGCATTTACTGTACAGGCATCTTTTTCTCCTATATTTCTATATACGAAAAAATAATTTTGTATTTTTGAATATATCAATTTGCAGGAAATTCAAAACACTTTCGTATAATATCTTACATTTGATTTTAACGTTTATTATCAGTATAATAGTATCAGTTAGTTTTTAACTTTATCTATTTCTGAATAATCCTGTAGACTGAAAAGGTGAAGCAGTATGGAAAACGCTGATAATAAACGTTAAAATCAAATGTAAGGTATCATAAGAAAGTGTTTTGAATTCTCCTGCAAATTGACATATTTAAAAATACAAAATTATTTTTTCGTATAGAAATATAGGAGCAAAAGATGTGTGTACAGTAAATGCTTATTTGTTTCAAATGCTTGTGTTTAAGGTTTGGACATGTTTCAACGTCAACTGCAAAATTTATCATTACCATACATTTTTCCCCTAGACAACGTCGAATTTTTTTAACGCGTTGAAAACGTTTGTAGTTCCAACGCTTTTAAGCGTGTTTTGTTTTTCGAAAGAAACGTTTAAAACTGCCTACGGCACGTTGAAAACACGTGGAAGACGGTTTCAGCGCCTCAAAAATCACGATTTTAAATGCGAAACTCGTAAAGATAGATGCGTTGTAACTACAAACGTTTTCAAAGCGTTAAAAAGTTTGACGTTATCTAAGAGAAAAACGCATGGTAATGATAAATTTTTTAATTGACGCGTTTAAATGCGTCCAAAGCTTTTGGAAATTTCCTGCTGTGTATAAGTCGAATTGTTATATTCCATATACCAAACTATAGATGAAGAGTTCCTTAGCAAAACGAATGTGAATAACGTATCTGCAAAAAACTGTGATCGATTGAAAATAGGTCATTTTTTTGACCAAAGTAAAATAAAACTAGTCTAACTCAGTAGCGAGCTAACAGTGGCAGCTAAACATATCATATTTATGATCAGTACACTTAGCTCTACCAGACTCCATGTATTTCTGCAAAATCCTAGGAGGACACTTAGGTATGTTCCCTCATAAAATAAAATTTAACAATAAATTTTCTTTAATCAAATGTACAGAAGCTTAAAATTTTTAAAAATTTATTCTCCATTGTAATTTCTATTATTTTATCATCAACCCTAAATCAAACTGGTTTTGTTTTCTTCAAAAAAAATTGGCATTATCCTACTCTTTACTTCATTTTGTCTCAATCTTTTGGTTAATGTAGATTTTTATTTTAGGCTCTAACATTCTTCATAAAGCTACTTTGTGATGAGTCATACGAGCAAGAAAAATTTCATGATTCCCCATGTTTTATCTTATACCAGCACTCAACGATTATTTGTTCTTTAAGTATAAATTATAAAAGTCATGCACTTTTAGTTGAGAGAAGTAGGCCACCATCAATACCCGTTATATTTAAGTATTTTTTACCCTAGTAAATATTTCATTATTTTGTACTCAAGAACAATTTGAAAATTTTTCTAAATTATTTTGTTTTGTTTTTTAAAAATTCAATATAGCTGAGATACAAAATAACAGAAATGTAATCGTTCCAAAATTCTTAGATTGAGAACGGTACCGTTTTGAAAATTCTCTTAGAAACGTCGGTTTTTAATTTTCCATTTTTTCATAGTAAAAGACTAATTTTATTCAAGAAATATCTCAAACTGACACTGGTTAAACTCTTTCTTCTTTTTAAAACAGCCGGTGTACTGGAATGGAATTGCTTGGTCGTCTATCTTTATCCGTTACAACTCTTCAAAGTAACTATAGTTACTTTGAAGCATGAATGCATATCCATCAAGAAATTCCTTTTTGTTTTTAGTCGTTCATTGCCGTAACTAATATTCAAAGATTTATTTTTCAGTTTTTCATTCTTTTCACACTCCTTCATGCGGCAAATATAGATAGTGTGAAATAGAATATGATCATATTTCTTCTCATTCTTTTCATGTTATTTTCAAAAATATGTGCACACCTTTAATATTTTATTATTATTCCTAGTAAATATTTACAAACGAACAAGGATTTGTTTATTTGCATGTGCATAAACGTATGGATAAAAATTCAAGATTTCAATTTGTGTGAACATATTTTGTGACTGACATCAGTCAATATGATGTTCATTATAACAACAGAGATTTCTCTCTGAAACTATTACTAATCTAATAAATTTAAAGTAAGACAGAAGAAAATTTGTAACCCAACTATTTGATATCTCAAAAATAGTAAAGCACTCTTATTTTCAGTTATACATATATACGTGGGTAAAATAACCGTAGAAATTTCATCGTGTTCTTATGACTTTCTCGTCAAACGCGTTTACTAAATAGCAAAAAAGAAATTATATTTCAAAAAATCAAAAATTAAACGCCATCTGTTCCATCTTTATAAAATTTACAAGCAATTTCGTAATCTTTCTATTCAAACTTCGCATCAAGATAAAAATAATTTCTTTCAGTCTATAATGAACAGTTTTTCGAACAGTAAGCGTTTCTGGTCTTCTCTTAAGAAATATTGTTCAACAGAATGCGATCTTCTTGCTGCTCTGCGTAACAATTCATCTACAGACAATCCGTCTAAAGCTCAGCTTTTATCAGAGCATTTCCAAACTACATTTTGTATTACTTCAGGATCATTCCTGGCCGCGCCAGTGGTGACTTCTCCTATACTTCTCTCTGAGATTTCTTTTGATGTGCTCATGTTTATTCTTCTATTTCAAAACTAAAAGACAAAATTCTGTATGTGTTGATCAAATAAGTGTTAGATTTCTAAAACGTTCTGGTGACATTCTTGCATCACAATTACATCATATGTTTTTTATTTCCTTAAAGCTAGGAGTTTTTGTTGTCCAGAATTGTTCAAAAACAACTTTTTTCTTTTTCAACGTTGACGAACTTCTTTTCTCCTAATCAATTTGGCTTTTGTCCAAATGTATCGACGGAAGATGCGCTACTTTTCATCATAGATACAATCTATAAATGTTTAAATAATTTGCCAAAAAGTAGTTGGCATTTCTTTCAACTTCGAAAAAGCATTCGACCGTGTACCACACGAAATTCTACTAAGAAAACTATCTCTGAAAGGTATTTATGGTCCTCTATTTGACTGGTTTAAGTCATATCTGTCTGAGCGTATACAGATAGTAACAGTCGAATCTGCTCATTCTACTTCAGTCCTTGCTGTTTGATTTTTAATCTTCATTAATGACTTACCTGAAAGTCTAGTTTTCTGTTCTCTATCCTCGCTCTTTGCAGATGATCTTCTGTATCTAGCTGATTTAGACAATGCACAAGCGTGCAAAGACAAGGTCCTGGCTTGATGTGAAACGAATTTTGTCACTTTAAACGTTTCAAAATGTGAATGAATGATGTTTTCTACTGTATCTAACGTATGTCCAACAATGTCTTTAAAGATGAATGATCATATAATTCGGCGTGCTTCTTTACTTAAACTTCTTGGCGTTAGATTGATGCATGATCTATCGTGGAAATGTCATATTGATAACGTAGCATCAAATTGTCGGAAAATGTTTGGTTCCATTTCCCGTGGGTTCCCTAATTCTCCTAATTCACTTCGTCTTCATCTGTATAAAACTTGCATACGTCCACCTTTGGAGTACTGCTGCCTTCTATATGATACATCTTACATTTCTCATCTCTCTATGTTAGATAACGTACAAAAGTTGGCCTGCAGAATAATCCTTAGAGATTATGACAGTCGTTCCTCGCAACTTCTCACTCGGCTAAAGTTAGCACCGGTCTCCATTCGAAGAAAATATTTTCGTCTTATTTCTTTTCATAAACTGTACAACGGGAGAAGTGTTTTGTCTAAGTGTTCTGTCCGCTAGAAACCTAAATACTCCGCCAACAGATCGACGGTCGTCTAGAATAACGCATGATAAACAAATTCAAAAACCTTACTATTCCTTACAGCACAGTGGAGGCGGGTATTTGGTCGAAAATCGAAGTGAGCTTTTCTGTGATTTTAATAGTATCAAATATACAGCGTTAAATGCGCTATCAAATAGCGTAAAATTTTTTATTTTCCGTGGCTTTTCCTTATGCAATTATTCGAGAAAGAAAACACGATGATATAAGGAAAGCACTAGGAAAACCAATATGTACAGAATAATCAAAATGCGCGAGTTAGCAGACGTGCAATCTTACTTATTCTTTCACCAAAATGTTCTTTAGTATAGTATAGTCCTGTATCTATAGTATACTCATAAAATCTCATGACTTTTTCTGCCAATAGGTACAGGTTTTCTGAAAATCCTTTGATTTTGAAGTAATTTGAACTTTTCTACTCTTATATGTTACTTTACTAGAATAATTTATACATATTCGGATTCCGCGCGAAAAACTGCATCGACTGCTAAGTCTAAGAACCATTTTAGAGGAAAAAAGTTTTTCGTCAAATATTTAGGACAAAGGTTCCTTCTCCTGAGGGATTTTTTGTCTAAAAAGTTTTTTTTTCGAGTTCCGTTTTTTTTAAATTTATAATAACATTTCAAACGTGATAAAGTACTGTTGTGCCAAAATAGTCTCTTTCTGAATTAAAAACTACATATCCGCCTGGTTCTATAGAAAAATGCCCACTGATAATCATTATCTACAAAACTGAAGAAAAGAACTGAACATACTATTCCGTTACGTGTAAAATCTAATTTAAATAATCATTTCGCACTTGTTTCATGAGTTTGTACATGTTAAGCATGTGTTAAATAAATAATAATCTAGTACTCTGCACACGCTTTATTAATTAATGATGGCTGTATTATAGTTTCGGTACTTATTATCTCTATAAAATAATAAATGAAAATGAATCATGATACACAAAATGGGAAAAATGGTACTGTAATGTTAGATCACAATGAGTCTTTAAGTCCCTCGTAAGTTATCAAATTTATTTGAAATAAATTTTAAATCATTCTAAGCAAATCATATATATTTAGAACTGAAATCAAATCAAAGCAACCAATTCGATTATCGCGAAAAAATAAAATTAACAATGAAAATGAAAAAAAGAAAGAAGAAACAGAATCAGTTAGTCTAAAACAACTTGTAAGTTTTGATTAAAAAATTTAATTTACTATAATTTGTTGTTTATTTTGATTTTAAGTTTCGTTTTGCTAAAAAATTCGATGTGTTTTATATGATATTGGCGAGTTTTGCTGCTATTTGTCATGGAGCTGCATTACCCTTATTATTACTTATTTTTGGAAATCTTGTTGATATATTTACAAATCGTTCATTCAATTTATGTACACTTAATTTGACGGCACTTTCATTAACTTATTGTCCATCAGGAATAGTATTAACTTCAATTAATTTTTTGTCAGATTACAAGTAAAGTAAACTTTCTATCATTGTATATTCTATAATAATCAGTGAGAAATCTAATTAATATTTCTAGTTTAGATTATGCAATTTTACTGATTCTAATTTTACTATACCAACATTTGATCTTACGGGTAAAGTTCGACAACAGGCATTAATTTTAGTGGGTAAGTTAGTCAACTTTTTCTTCCATTTAGAATTTATGATTGCTAGTTTCTATTTAGGAATCGGTGGTGGGGCAATCATATTTGCTTATATTCAAATAGCATTCTGGTGTGTTTCAGCCGAGCGACAAACACGTGCAATAAGAGAAGCAGTTTTTCGTTCAATTATGAATAAGGAAATACTTTATTTTGATATGCATAAAACAGGTATGGAATACAAATTAAATGAAATCTAAATCTTAGTAAAACTTCTTATAATCAAGCTTTTGATAATTTTTATCATTTTGTTTAAATTCTTCCTTGTATATAGGTGCGAACATTTTCATACTTGGTATAACTTTAAATTTTCTTATGGGATAGAGCTAATCAAGGATGAGATAAATCGTTATATATATAATGATCTTATCTTGAATGGCTATGACTGTTTATATACAAATAGAAAATATAAAAGACATTTTTGATTCAAAATCCTGAATATAAGAAGCTTTTTTTATTTCAAATGTTCTTAATATTTTCATCCATTAATTTTTAGGAGAATTAAATACCAGACTAACAGAGTAAGTAACTTTTTTAGGTCTACTTCTGTAAGGAAAGACGTTACATATCAATTGGAAATTAAAAGTCGACTTTCTTAGCGCCAGAAGGCATGAGCTCTAACTTTGCAGAAAACTTTGTTTATTCTTCTAGATAATAATAATATTTGAATAAAGTGTCGAGGTCGTTTCATTTTCAAAACGCCAGCAGACAGTAACATCTATCTGCTGGCGTTTTGAAAATGAAACGACCTCGACACTTTATTCAAATATTATTATTATCTAGAAGAATAAACAAAGTTTTCTGCAAAGTTAGAGCTCATTTCTTCTGGCGCTAAGAAAGTCGACTTTTAATTTCCACTTCATATGAGAATTATCACCGAAGCAAATGAAACAAACGGAGCAATCATAGAATGTAAAGAGCTTCTCTTTGATGTTTCTGTAAGAGATAAAATATATAAATCTATCTTTTCTTCTGCATTTTATTCATGTTTTTCTATAGTAGCCTACTTTTCATTAACTCTTATATATAACACATCAAAGAACAAAAACTTTAGTTTTGATGAAAATTTCCAATGGAACTTTCTTAACTGCATGACTTTCCAGTTTTCTCTTCGGACCACGATATCCAGGATAGACAGAATGTTACAGAGCTTATGTATAGACTTTTCTTGTTATGTATGTGCAAAACATATATTAAGCAAAATTTAAAATAGAAAAAACGGATTAAGAATGAATAGAAACAGATATGAGAGCGACAGAAAGACTACACTTTCTTACTTATTTGCAAAAAGAAGGAGAAGAGCACTCCAACAAAACAAACAAAATAATTAGTTTAATTAATAAGTTTGTTGATATTTTTGTAAATAAATCTGAGATATATTAAAATTTTTTTAAACGTAAATCGGCGGATACTCAATTGACAAGGACTCACAGATGTTGCTAAATTCTTAACTTAATCGTGGACAACATGCAAACTGGATGTATGAGTGATTACTCAGAACTCGCTGGAAACGTACTGATCAACTTAGAAAAGAGTTTCTCTCAATTTTATGTAACAAAACTTGATTTGACTGATTTTCTTCTACTTTCTGAACTTCTCTAAACACGAAGACAGAAGTTAAACTTCGATATTACGTAAAAGTATTTTTGGTGACTGCAAAACAATTATCAGTGACTCTAAAAATGAAAGGTGCTGCTAGTTTGTTCTGTGATCGTTCGTACATTTCATCGTTGTGATTGGTTTCGCCCTCACACGATATGCTCATAGAACGGCTGATTCGTCTCTTCAATGACAATATGTAAGAAACGAACAATTGCAACGAAGAAACACAGCAAAGAAATTCAGAAAATATAATCAGACAAATATAATTAGATCATGTTTTCTGTCATCAAATAAACAAAATTTTTCCAAAGCTGATCTGTCGTTAAAAAAGTTGTGACAGGTGTTTCTTCGGTTCTCAAGACAAACACGTTAATTTTGTTGTAAAAGATACATTGCTTTTAATTGCTATCGATATGTCGTTAAATTGAATAGAATCAAACATATAAGATATTGTCTTACAAAAGCGATATAGCATTAGCGTTAGGACGAACAAACCAGCAGCGGCACCTTTCATTTTTAGAGTCAGAAAGTTCTCGGAAAGTCCATTGGAAATTTTCATCAAAACTAAAGTTTTTGTTCTTTGATGTGTTATATATAAGAGTTAATGAAAAGTAATCTACTATAGAAAAAAATGAATAAAATGCAGAAGAAAAGATAGATTTATATATTTTGTCTCTTATAGAAACATCAAAGAGAAGCAATTCATCGTTCAAAGTTTATTATTTGTAAGCTAGATTTTAAAGCTAAAATCGCTGTATCCTTTTAAATATCAATGGTACCCTGACATTCTTAGACCTAGCAATCTTAGAAAAAATTCTACGGAACTCGCGAGATAGATTTCAGTTTTTAGTTTCAGCAATACTTTTTTCCTTATTTCGCATTTTTTAGTTTACATTTTGGTATGTCATAGAAATCTTAATGGATATCCCACTGGCGTCTCGTAAAGTTCTAGAAAAGGTTTTTTGAAAAAATGTTTCAGCGAACTGTGTGGATGACAGAACCTTCGGAAGGATTCGGCCGGATAAGAAGTTCTGTCAGGAGAGATTTGGGCTTGCGGAACCCTATGAAACTTAAAAGGGTATAGAGAAATGCAACCATTTCTAAACCCTTTTAGGTTTCGTAGAACACATGATGCAGTACGAAACCGTTTAAGTGTATAAATTCAAGGAGTTTTGGTCTAACCAAGTGGACCATTTTCAGCAGCTTAGGGGTGTTTTCATTGTATAGGACGGCGAAAACTGAGCCAAAAAAATACCTGAAACTTCTCTAATTTTTGATTTTTCGAGAAAAACTTATGAGGAAAAAACATAAAGAAATAAGCGAATGCACTCACTGAGCAATCATTTCAATGCACTTAAAATGGTTTCGTACTGCACCTTGTCTGGGTTTAGAAATGGGATCGCTAATAAAACGGGAATATACCCCAGGATTTCATCAGGACTCTTGGGAAAGTACTGTAAGAGTTTTTGTTGTTTCACGACTACTACGTGGAAAATTGACTAGGGTTTATAGCTTTTTTCTTCTGTGTTTTTAATATCTCTCACTCAATAGAAAAAAGCTAATCAGGTTGAAATTTAACGTGTTTTCTAACAAAATGCTCATTTTGTCAATATAAGCTTTCAATCGTCTGTTTATGTTATAGAGATATCAATAAAATACATGACGGTATCGGTGACAAAATAGGCTCCGCCTGTCAGTTTATGTCAGCATTTGTGACTGGTCTCATTTTGGGTATGTAGCACTTTTCACTATTAAATCTATTCTTTTGAATTTTGAACTTTGGCTTTTAAAAAATTCAGGTTTCATAAAGGGTTGGAAACTCACGTTAGTGGTCTTGTCTGTGTCACCACTACTATTTTTTGCAGCAGTAATATTTTCCAAAGTAAGTATTGTTGGGTTTTTAAGCTTACTGATTATGATAAAAATTTAATTCTGCTGTTGTGATCCTTCAAGCAAAGATCGTAAACATTCCCACCATGTTAGGCTACAAATCAAACTCCATTGAGTAAAGCGTGTTGACAATCTGTCTATATTTACTCCTATTCGCCCAAGCGTAAAAAAGAATCCATTATCGCCCGATTCATCTAAATTACTAGATTTTTACTCGATTGCAACTACTGTGTAACGGCAGTGGAAATCTAGCAATTGGGCGATTACTAGGTTTTTTCTAGTTGCAACTATCGACATTTTCGCCCGATAATCGATCAATTTAACTATTGCTGGATGTACATGCAGGTGCATCTAGTTAAAAGCCCCTTTTCCAACTAATAATCTAAATGGCAACTAGTCGTGTATCGTCCGATTATAGACGAAATGTATCTAGATTTTTCCCATATGTGATGTTTGCTTGGGAGTGTAAGGGTTAATATTTATTTTTTTAGCTTACAGCTAGTATGACTGCGAATGAATTAAAAGCCTATGGAAGAGCAGGTGCGGTAGCTGAAGAAGTGTTTAGTTCAATTCGAACTGTTTTCAGTTATAATGGTGCTGAACATGAACAAGCCAGGTTTGTTAGAAATTTAGAGATTTTTAATAAATGGAGACAGGAATATTTATTTTTTACTTCTAGATATGAACAACATTTAAATACAGCCAGAGATTTTGGTATAAAAAAGGGAGCTTTCAATGGATTAACCTTGGGATTTGTGTGGTTTGTCATATTCTGTGCGTACGCATTAGGTATGTCTGTAGTTATCTGTAATTTACTAAATATTCAAACCTAATAAAATAACAATTTTGAAGGTTTTTGGTATGGAGCAAAATTAGTTCGAGATGAAGATTTTCAAATTGGCTCTGTATTAATAGTAAGTATATGACAGGTTCAACGGGCTTTTTGTCAACACTAAAAAAAGTTCATCATTAAACCAAGTATCATCACTTTCGAAGTTGATTTAAAAACTAGAAACTACTGTTCAAACAGACATTACTTTTTGAATCATTTATGTATCCAGTTATATACTAATATGTTTAGGTATTTTTTGCAATACTCATCGCCGTATTTAGTCTTGGTCAAGGTGCACCACACCTTCAATCTCTAGCGCAAGCAAGAGGAGCAGCCTATTATGTTTGGAATTTAATCGATACGGTATTGTATGATTGATTTTAAAACATGTGAAAATATTGAATAATAGAATGTTAATATACACAAGAGAATCTTGCCAAATGATTTATCACTTTTATTCTCCACACATACTTTAACACAAGTAATTTTTTAATCCGATATTCGTTTAATTTCCATTTTGTATGAACCTGCAAAAATCAGACAGCTATTAAGAAATTTTTACGTTTGCTTTTTGGTTTACGTTTTTAGAATGGGCATGTGGATCAGGTCAATATTAGGGTTTTGAACAGCATCAAAAATTATTTGTAATAGACTATGTCCCAATGAAAAACGATAAATCACTTTGTGAGATTTCCTTGTTAGAAAAGCTGCCTATTTTTATGCAGAAACATTAACTGAGATATCTACGAATGGAATCTTGCAAAAGTTCTTCGGTCGCCTTTATGGAACAAGACCACTTAAACGGAGATCTGAAACGGACTAGTTTGGCCCCAAGTTTAATTTGGCTTATCTACAAAGAAGCCAAACGTGTGAGCTAGAGATGCGCACAGGTACCGTTTTCGTACCCGTATCCGACCCGACGTGAGAACTTTGTAGCCGTACCCGACTTATGCCCAAATATTTTCTCCGTTTCGTTTTCCCGCTAAAAACTTTTATTTTTCGGCTGGAGATGCCAAATTATCATTACGTTCTCAAGTAACTGTTTTCTAAAATTTCATGCATTTTAGCTAGACATCTTGTATTTTTTCGCAAAACTTTTGTGGTTTTCCAGTAAAACCTTCCGTTTTTCGGGTAAATAAAAAAGAACGGAACCCTCACCCGTAACTGCTCTATCCGTATCCGACAACTTCGTACTCATATCCAACCGTCGGGTCGGGTCGCGTTGCACATCTCCAGTGCGAGACTCTTTAGACAAATATTCCTAGAAAACTTATTTTATTTTTCATCCTTCTTATCTCCTGTTTTAGCCGTCGAAAATCATAAGTAATTCTGATAGTGGTCTTAAAACTCCAGATTTAATCGGCGTTATCGAATTTTCAAAAGTCAATTTTATTTATCCTTCAAGACCAGATATTCCCATCTTAAATGGTTTATCGTTTGATGCAAAAAGCGGGAAAACAGTTGCACTAGTCGGAAGTTCCGGTTGTGGAAAAAGTACTTGTATTCAATTATTACAACGATTTTATGATCCAATTTCGGGTTCTGTTTCAATTGACGGTCATTCTGTTAGTGAATACAATCTTCGTTGGCTAAGACAACATATTGGAGTTGTTAGTCAAGAACCAATTTTGTTTGCTGCAACAATTAAAGAAAATATTAAATACGGAAAAGACAATGTAACGGATAGTGATGTTGAAAATGCAGCAAAAAACGCAAACGCGCACGATTTTATCATGACATTACCAGATGTAAGTATATATTATATTATTTTAATAAAAGAAATCATCTTCATTTTTTCTTTTGCTAAGCAATATGAAACAATGGTAGGAGAAAGAGGTGCTCAACTATCTGGCGGTCAGAAACAAAGAATTGCGATAGCAAGAGCATTAATAAGAAATCCAAAAATTCTATTACTCGATGAAGCAACAAGCGCTTTGGATAACGAAAGTGAAAAGATTGTTCAAGATGCTTTAGAGAAAGCATCAAAAGGTATATTTAATTGTTTTTAAAAAGTTATATTTTACATTTTTATTTATTGTATTTTTAAATTAGGACGAACTACCATTGTAATTGCACATCGTTTATCGACCATTCGTAATGCAGATAAAATTATTGTGATTCAGAAAGGTTCCACTATTGAAGAAGGTGATCATGATACACTGATGAATAAACGTGGAAATTATTATGCACTTGTTCAAGCACAAAATTTAAAATTAGCCGAAGAAGAAGCGGAACGCGAAGATGAAGATATATATCCTGATGAAAGTAAAATTAATTGATTAGACAGAAATTAATCTGAGAAAAATTGGTTGCTTTTTTGTCATAGCAAATGTTCGTAGAGATAGACGTTCAACGGTGGCAAGTTTAACGCCGTCAATGTTGGCAACTATATGTGGAGACAAAACAGATGATAATAATGACGAAATGGTATAAAAAATTCGTTTATAATGGATACGGCATAAATAATGATACTGCCAGTATTTCGTCAATATCTCGGTGAGTTTTTGTCGTAGACACTTGAGCTTAATCTTAAAAAATTCTCTATTCAGTTCTCTTCAAAACTCTAAGTAAAGAGCACGCACAAGACGTAACCGTAAATTCATAGGCTGTCAACGCTGCAATGTCCCAAATGGGAGCACTTTCCAGCGCACATTTTCGGAAGATTAATTCTGTCCAATTGGACGCGAACGCAGTCTAATGTGAATTTTTCCGATGTTTTCTTTCTCACACCACCCAAAATGACTCTCTTAGACAACACAGTGGGTGTCTTGTAGTAGATTTTCTTAAAAAACGAGCTGAAACCAGGGAGCATTTTTTTCTCACCCACTATGGTTGCCAAAATAAGAGTAGTACGCCAATTGGGTTGGTTAGAGATGATAGAGAAAACATTTTGTGCACCTTTGCAAAACAAAATTAGCAAGAAAACTATACATTTTGTCCTAACTGTACAAAATTTTCAATGAGCCCACTCCATTAACAGACCGTAGAAAACCGAATATGAAATAAAACGGACAAGGTCGCGATCAGAAAAGCATGAAAATAAAAAACGATCAGCTGTTTCTTAAGTAATAGACCATTGCAAGTGCGACAAAGTGGCATATTCAGTCTTTCTTTATGCGACGAAAGTGCGGCGAAAAAATAAAAACAAAACGTTATATTGGTTGGAAAGTGCTCCCGTTTGGGACATGGCAGTATTGACAGCCTACGAATTCACGGCTATTCGTTGTGCGTGCCGTTTATTTAGGGTTTTGAAGAGAATTAAATGAAAAACCTTTTGAGACTACGCTCAAGTCTCTACAATGAAAACTCATCGAGATATTGACGAGATACTGGCGGTATCATTATTTATGCCGCACTGGTTAGATATAAGTATTCAATATTACATTTTGCAGAAAGTGAAAAAACCTTCACCATCTTTGGCTATGTTAAAAATGAATCGTCCTGAATGGTTATATATTCTGTTCGGATGTATTGCTTGTATTTGTAATGGAGGTATTCAACCGGCTTATGGTAGGTATATTATAAATCTTTTTAAAATACAACAAATATATTTTCATCTTTATTTAGGTGTTATTCTCAGTAAATTAATAGCAGTATGTTTAGACCATTCTCATACCATTCGCATGTTAAATTTTTTATCTTATTCTTTGATCAGGTATTTCAAGAATGTGATCGAGACGTACAAGAACACAAGGTTCTTGTTTATGTCCTATTATTTATTGGATTTGGTATTCTAATGCTAATAACTATGTTTTTACAAAGTTATTTATTTGCATGTAGTGGAGAAAAGTTAACGAAACGTTTACGAGCTAAAGTATTTCGAGTTATATTAAGACAGGATCTAGCTTATTTTGATGATCAGAAAAATAATACCGGAGCATTGTGTACACGTTTAGCCGTTGAAGCATCAGCTGTTCAAGGGGCAACAGGCATTAGAATTGGTCTTATGCTTCAAAATTTTTCCAGTCTTGGTGTAGGTATTATACTTGGCTTCGTTTATGGTTGGGCTCTAACACTAATGCTTCTCGGATTTATTCCACTCATCGTTATTGGTGGATTTTTACAATCAAAACTAGTTAGTGGATTTGCAAGCAAAGACAAAAAGGCTCTAGAAAGCGCTGGAAAGGTATTGAGCTACACTATCATTATCTTTTTATATCTTGCGTTTTTCTTATACAGGTGGCTGTAGAAGTTATCCAAAACATTCGTACGGTGGCACAATTAACAAAAGAAGAGCATTTTGGTAACGAATATGCTCATTTAGTGGAAATCCCATACAGGTAAATAGAACAGAGTGCTGCATAAAGTTTTCCATACTTATAATCACTATTTTTTATGTTTTTAGATCATCATTGAAACGAGCATATATATTTGCTTTTTTTTTTGCCTTGACAAATTCTATTACGTACTTCGCCTTAGCAGCATTATTTTCGCTCGGTGCATATTTGGTCGATCAAAACAAAATGAGTTTCGAAGATGTTTTGCTGTAAGAAAATGAGTGCAACTTGATCTTTAAAGCTGTTCTGCATTTCTCAGCCGATATACCTATTTATAGAATCGTATAACTGGTTACCCAAAAAGAATTATAATATTAGTATTTTTAAATTTTCTCCTCCTCCTTGCACTTGATTGAGCTAATTGTTTTACTAAAATACTCCTCGGCAAAATTCCTACAAAAAATATACTGACTGTTTTTTTTCGAAATCTGAAGGTTCAAAATGTCCTGAGAAATTGTGAGAAGTACCAAAATGTAGAAAAAATAAACGTATTTTCTCAAAGAGAGCTATATTTTTTTTTGAATGAACGCATAAGCATCAGAGCACGGTTTTACTATATTCTTGTGTAGTTTGAAATACGAAAATCGTTTGAATCTAAGTTTTGTTCTGATGCTAAAAGATAGAGAATTTTGTGTAGATTTTATTGATATATTCTTTTTTAAATAAGTATGTATCCGTTCTTTTGTAGCATTAAAAGTATTGGATGCGAAAAACACATCATTTGCTCAGCACTTGACTGAAACAAAAATGTCATTTTTATTCGTTAAACAATTTTCCATACGCTATTCAGACATACTATGAAAAAGTACAGAAACGTATTTGTAGTTGAGACACAAAACCAATTTGTTGGCCTGAGTTTTACCATGTTGAAAACCACCTACACAATATGCATGCCTAATTATCTATTTTTGGCGCACTGTCATGCTAATAAAAACATTCCAACTTTGTCATTCGGTTAGAAAAGCAGTCAGCCTTTATAAAGAAGAGCATCTTGGAGAGCTTTAAATTCTGCATCAGTTTACATAAAAAAGATAATTTCTGTAAGACCAGGCTGTGACAAAATTGCTAAAGAAAAGTAGGATACGTGACCTGTGAACGTCTTTTTGACGTTTTGTAGTTTTCAAAGGAAAAGTAACTGAGTATATCAAACCTAACACACCACGAGATACACCGAAAAATGTAACATCTCTTAATACAAGAAAGGAATTTTTCAACTCAATCTAGCTGGACAAAATTGATTTTTACACGTTTCCAATTTTGTGGTTGAGCAAATGATGTTTTTCTGGCATCCAATACTTTTTAATGCTACAAAAACGGTACTTGCTTATTTAAAACAAGAACATATCAATAAAATCCACACAAAATTCTCCATCTTTTTGCATCAGAACCAAACTTTCTGATCGAGTCTAACTTGAGAAAAAAGCCTATGAAAAACCGGCAGTTTAATCTGGACCATCTGTTACTTCATTTTCAAAATGAAATTCAATTCCTCAAGTTTGACTATGTTTTATTGGAACACTCAGATTATGGTAAAAAATCCTCAGTTTTTGGAAAACTTAATAACGTTTTCCGAGTTTATGGGCAAAGTTAAGAATAGAAATTTTAAAACCAATGCGGCTATCATATTAAGAATTTTAATAAAAAGTTTTAATCAAATAATAAAAAATTAAAGGATAATTTGCAAAAAATTTTTTTTTCAAATTTTATATGCTTAAGTATAAATTCTAAAAACACATTTTATGAGGTTTCTAAACATATGCGTTTTATTTTCTAGCATGTTCGACGCCTGAGATATGAGTGCTTGAAGTTCCAGTT